ATTTTTAATATTTACGATTTATACTTTTATAGTTATTTATTTATATATATACTATATATTTTGGGGTTAGGATGTCCAAATTGCATTGTATAATATGTTCTTGGGTTTTTTTTAATTTATGGACAAGAAAGAGGGTAAACAGTTGAAATTTCATTTTAAAACCCATCTTTTTTGGTCTTTTCATTGCTTATGATCTGTCAAATTTGTAGTTTTCTTTATTGGTTTTGAGTATTTATCTTAAAACTCAAGTTTCTTGGTTCTTTGCTCTTGGTGTAAATCGAACACATTTGTGGAGTCGTTTAAATATGTTGGATTTTAAATATATTGGATTTTAAACTGTCATACAATTTTTTTCATCGATAGTCTGTAATTGAAACCATAACTCTTATTTATTCAAATTGGATTAATATATAAAGACCAAGTGTAACCTATATCATCGTTAAATCTTATCTTATAAAACCAGTGCAACTTCAAAATCGTTAAAATTCATGGATCCCGCCGCATTGCGCGGGTACACAACTAGTAATATAGTATAGATTAAACAATATTAGAAATTCAAATATGATAAAATTTAATCATAAATAATGTAATTATGGTAATACAATATAAACCCCACCATTTTGTTAAAGAAAACTAAACCACCAATGGAAAGGTAAAGAAAGTCTGCTTCGTTCAATGCACAAAAACTAGCATCAAATCAATTTCAATTGTTGGTAATACATTGAGTTGGGGGTTAGAGATACAGAGATGGGCTGCTGCATATGTTGATATCACCTCTCACCTGATAAATATATAAATGTGATACCGAACCCACCCTCAAGCAGTTCGCAATGGAGGAGATACCAAAATCACACCATCTCCTCTAACGAAAAGGAATGGAACCGTTCGCCTTGTGCTCTGCAATCACAATCCAACAATAACCGTAAACACCCACATAACTAATAACCTGCTACTTACTGCCAATAGTATACAAATAAAAGAAAAGGAAAAGAATGCATACCCGGACAATCTCTTCATAAGTTTCGTCATCAATCTCAACAGTCGTAACAATCTCTTCAACATCCCCAAGAATCATGTTCAAATGCTGATCGTAAGCCTAAACGTTGCACATCAACAGTCAAAAGATAGATAACTGCTCAAAGTTAACAAGTAACAGCAAACCATCAATTAATCCCCATGCCAGACAGCAAAATACTGAAACTTTTCTAGACTAGTCGACGACTTTCAACTTTACTACTACTTTGTGTTTGTACATTACTCAAAGAGTGTGATCATAACAAGAATAAGGACTGTGAAGCAACATCATCTAGAAACCCAAACTGATTATATAAATCCATGAGTTCTATGGTTCACCTGCTTAGCATTAAGCATGAGAATAATAAAGTCCCCCTTTATGATTCCCCAATTGGAGAACTCCCTAGACATACGCATCTCATTCACTCCTCTACAAGGGTTTCTTCTACATACATATTCTCTCTTTTACTTATTTCAGCCTTCTTATCTTCTATATGTAGTTATGATCGTATTACAATGTGCCCTGTTTGGCAACACATCATATACAGATCCCAACCAAAGGCAAAGCCAACACATTACTAAAGAAAGAGAGGGTTTCTTTCAAAAAAGCAATCTCCATGACAAGTCTCTCTACTTGATGGGTTTGTCTCAAGACCTGGCAATGGGTCAAATAGGGTGGATCCGTGGTAATACCTATTCAATCGGCAGGTACAACGGGTAGGGCGGTCAGGCGGGACCACCATGGCTCCTCATGGGTACAAAAATACTCATTATGTTTTGGAAACTATGTACGGTCACATGCTCTCCTTGTACTTGTACCAATAAATCCACGAAACAAAAGCCACTTTTAACACAAGAACAATGTAGATCAACAGAACAAAGTTAAAATAAAATCAATCTAACTGAAGTGAACATATTCTAAACACAAGTTACAAATAAAACTTGCACGACACAGAGAACACAACAACTAAATTAGTCAATAACAGCATTTTGTATATGAGTTTTTAGGTTTTTACTTTCTATTTCTACAAGAACGTTTCAAGGATAAACTAGTAACAGACAATTATACTACCAAAAATATATGCATATGGGTACATCCACAAGTACCACGAATTAAGATCATCAGGCGAGGCAAATTTTGCCTTGTGTTGCCTGTTTCATTTGCCTCACATCGTGAAAATGGGATGCAGAAAATGAAATCACTTTGAAATATACACATACAGATGAAATTATGTGAAATAATACAAAGAAATCTATATTTTCATATTACGGTAACTGAGAAATTAGGGGTCAAAAGCAACTGCCGGAGAAGTTCCTCATACACAACACCAAATTTCAAATCAAGTTTTCCATACAAAAAACAATAGATGAAGGATTAATTAAAAGAATTCAAAAATCCCTAGTCATCTAAAAGTAAACCTAATGAAATCGAATATGCTAGAGCGTGAGTGAAAGAGGCATACATGGAGCTTGCCACGGAGTTCACGATCAGAACGAAGTTTGACGTAGATACGCTCGTCAAGACTGAGCCTAATGAGATCCAGAGGCTCCTTCACTGCACTTTCCTCTTCGGTCGCCATTGCTGCCGATATCTCTAGGTCTTTGTGAAGGTTCTATGATTAACCTACTTTTTCACATTCATTTCCAACTGCATTTATCATTCGACATTGCTCAACTTTTTCATAAATCATAATTCCAATTTTTATTTATTTATCTTAAAAGATCTCAAGATTATAGTAAGTTATAGTAAGTTACGGATTTGGTCCCTAAACTTCATTTATTACAGAAAAAGACTCGTTGTTCGTTGTTTTGAAACGAGTCGTTCCCTTGCTTAAGCAACTGTTTATTTTAACCTGTTAAATCAACCCACGCGATTAGCACACACTCTCTCATCCATGCTTGTTTTTGGCTTTTCTACTTCTTCAACAACGCATGAAATCTGTGCAAGTGGTGCTTGTACGGTTGGGCATCGATTATAACATTATGCTTTTACTTTAATGTAATGATCTACCCTTATTTTATGCAAGTTCATTTTACATATTACTTATGTCTTGTAGACTGAATTGTGTGGGATTGACCACCATTGTCATTGTAACAACTCGTTTTGTGCAACTTCTATTAACATCAAAACAGTCCATTTTTATCGTCAAATAAAATAATCAAAAGACATTGATGGGATATGCGTACTGTTAGGTTTATATTTTGTTTGTAATAAAGTAGAGGGATCAAAAATGTAAATACCATCAAGGTATGTATATAGCTCCCTAGTCTGTAGAGTAGGTCAACTCCTTATTGTATTATCATCTTATTATTGAGAAGCGCCACCAAAGGCAAAACCAATATTTTGTATTTCATATTTTGAATCAATAGAAGCCGACTGATTTGCTATTTCCATTGTGTTAATGTTATATTATTGTCTTGTAATCATCTAGGTAAACAACAATTGGTACCAGCGCAGAAGATCAGCATTGGAAGAAGACTCAGCCCCATTTCTTGGAAAACCACGTCTGTGAGTTCTAGTTCACTGTTTTATTGGCTTTTATTCAGTTATGGGTTGTATCTCGAGAATTAAAGTTGTAAGGCTTTGATTTTCGAGCCTATATATCCTTAACTGAAAGGTTTTGGACTGTATTTGTGAAAAATTTCAAAATCTGCCAAAAACCTTAAGAACTGCCAAGTTATCGCATATTTATTATTCATTGTCATCGCGTAGTTGTGTGCGACAACTAGGTTTTATCGCATCATTTTGATGCGACAACTTCTTGGTATCGCATAGACTTGACCCGACAACCTAGACTTATCGCATTAGCTTGACCCATAAAACACATTCATCGCATCAGTTTGACCCGACATAAACACTTTATCGCATCCTTTATATGCGATAAGATACTGTCCATACCCCGTTCCATATGACAAGTTTGGATCCGACAAGTTTGACCCGACACGTTTATGTACGACAAAGTGGGTGCGACAAGTTTAAGGTGCGAGAAGGAGTAGGGTGTGATAAGTATTGGGGTGGGAAAAGTTCCACAAGTGGGGTGCGACAAACAGTTGGGTGCGACAAAAATTATCATTTTGTGTTTTCTGAGTTATTTTTCTGAGTATTTCAACCAATTGATCTACAATCAATTGATTATTAATAACAATGTCATCTCGAGAGGCAATGGCTATCGGTTCGGACACAAAACCTCATGTCCTGTTCAGAGGGGATTATCCTAAATGGAAGGACAAATTCCTTGATTTTATCGACAGACAGGGACTTGGTCTTTTGATGAGAGAATCCTTGAGAGATGGACTAACCATCTTCATGGACATCATACTGGCTACTCCTAATGCCAATCCACGAATCCTTGTACAACAACAAGTGCCGAGAGAGTATGCTTCCTTGACAGAGATGGAAAGGGTACGAGTTGATGTTGATAGGATGATAAGGTCCTACATTCTGCAAGGTCTACCAAATGATATCTATACCAGTATAGATAGTCACAAAAAAAATGGGAAGACCATGTGGGACTAGATAGAGAAGCAGTATTGGTGCTCAAATCAAAGTGACTAACTGTCTCAAAAGCTACACGAACTTCAAACAAAGAGAAAGTGAGATGCTTGAGTCTGTCTACGAGAGGTTTTGCAATCTATTGAATGTTCTTAGAAAGAAAGGGATACAGAAGACTCTGATAGCGAACAACATCAAGTTTCTGAGCAATCTTCAACCAGAATGGAAGAGATTTGCTTCTCATATTAGTCAAAGCAAGTCTCTATCAGAATAGACATTCACGTTATTTATGAGACGACGTTGCAGAATGAAGAAGAAGTTTTGGGGAAAATTGAAGGCAAGAAGAAGAGCGAGAAATCATCGGTGGATCCCCCAGCTCTTGTTGCTGCTGAAAAGGGCCAGAGGTATGCTTCCAAAAGTTTAAAGGCAGAGAAGGAAGATAGTGAAGAGTCCGACACTGACAAAGCATATAATAGTTCCGACTCCGACTTGAACGACATCAAACAAGCTATGCTTCTTCTGACAAAGGATTTCCAGAAGAAATTCTACAAGAAGCCTTTGTTCAACAAACTGAGGACCTCTTCAAGTTCAAGGAAACCCGATTCGAGTTTAAGGAAACCTGAATACAAAGAAAAGGACGGTTGAATTGATAATTGAGGAACTTCAGAAGTGCTATAACTATGGAAGAACCGGGCATTATGCTAAGGAGTGTCAGAGCCAGTCGTCAGGGACTCTAACTACTACAAAAACAAGATGCTCATGGCCAAGCAGGAAAAAACGGGGAAAGCACTAATGGCTGAAGATGATCATTGGCTGCAAATTTCAGAGAGTGATGATGATGACAAAGCAGACGTGCACATCTTCTTCATGACTAATGACTCTGACGCTCAGAGTTTCGATGATGATGATGTTGGATCTTGCAACTCCGATTATTCCAAGGTACATTCTATGTCTCTGTTTGAGGAAAAGATCATGGATTTAATGAATAAAATAATTGCTTTTGAAGGCAAGCTCCAAAAGGAAAAGAAACTGAGTGCCTCTTGGGAAACCAAATGTAAATAAAATCATGAGTTAATTATCACTCTCTCATGTGAAAAAGCTCAAAATTTACTATTGATTAAATCTTTAAAAGAAGAATATGAGAGATTTCTTAACAATAAAGACAATGTTTCTAAGACCCTGACTGAACAGATTTCTAAGTTATCAGATAAGTTAATTCTCTCGAAGAGAGAAACGAATGAATATGCTTTAATGTACGAAATGTACATTATGAAAATATTAATTTGATTTATAAACTTCAGAATCTTGAAGAAAGATTTGCGAAAAGAGGTTAAACGGATCAAACAATTTTAATGAACAAACCAAAAGAATTCTTATATTATCAACCCAAAGTTGGCTTGGTGTTTGAAAACCCAAGCTACTTGGAAAAAGGCAGTTTCACAAGTTTTTACACTGTATAATTATCTTTTCATGAAACTGGATCCTAAATATCGAATGAAGTTCACTCCATCATCTTCTGAAGTTGAGGCAAGAGAATATGCTAACAGGAAAAGACTCGACAAAATGCAACTTCCTTTTATGTATGCTAGACTGAATGAGTCATATCCATATGTCAGACAACCTTTGTCGGATGACTACTTTAGAAGCTACACTAAGGAAAAACTTTCCCAAAGTGAACCGGAACATAGAGAAAATCATATTGAACCAAAAGTAAATGTTCCACCTTTTCTTGAAGAAAGGATTTCCGAAATGACAAAACCGGAAAGGACCGAGCCCTGAGGTAGGTGGGGAGGTAGGTCCAGGTAGTAAGCAAGAAAAAGACAGAGGGTGGGGACGTAGATGGAGGTGCCTCTGGTTCTGCTTCTAACTCTTCTAAAGATGAAGATGTTTCATCGGATGATGGAGAGCCAATTGTCGTTGACTCCTCATCGTCTTCAAAGGATTCTAACTCCTCAGACGATGATGATACGTCCGATGACGCTAAACGCCTACCAAGTCACATCGGTGTAATGCCATAGATTACGGAGTCCAGCACGGAGAAAGAATCGATCTATGATACTGCTGTCATGGATCTTGATCAAATTATTTCAACAATAGTCATTGATATAAGGATGGATGAGGTTGGAATTGAAAATGAGGAGAGAGTGAGTTGTGGGACCGAACATGAGATACGGACCCAAAAACATCAGGACCGTTCCCAAACCACCATAAGTCGGGTAACCACATCTACTATCGGGTCCCATCCGTCGGGATCCGGTATTGAACAAGTTATAGTGGACCCAGCTACGCAAATGCACACCCCTCCCATCCACTCTAGCACCTCTCAACAGGTGTTAGTTTCATCAGATCACAGGGATGTAACACATCTACTATCCACCTCTCACTCGAAGAGTATGGATATTGAAATAAGTAGACCGCGCCCCCAGGCTACGACATCATTTTTATGCACGTCGAGTCTAGAGACTAATACAACTATTAGGATACATACACATGGAGCATCTGTTGCTCAATCTGCGCTTCTTAGTGAACTCACTGGAACATCCATAATGGTATCTTCTATAGATACTTCACGAGGGCATTATGGAAATCCTACCAATGCCAACACCAAATGTAGGTCACACAGTTGATTCAACTGTCGTGCCAACAGGTAGGCTCAGTGCCCCTAGCGTTCCTTTACCCGAAACAGCTACGTAGATATTGGCTGGTGCTTTAGCTGCAGTGCAAGCCTCGATGCACAACCAGATGGATGAACTAAAGAGACTACTGAAGGGAAAATCAGTCATGGAGCACGTGAGTCCAACTCCACCGCCACAACGACTACCTACTCTTGAGCCTAGACAAACAACGAAGTGCTCAACTGAAGAGTTGAAATCTCTATTATATGCTAAGTTGTTGTCCGAGGCAGATGAGGGAGCAGGTGAAAGTTGATCTCATTGGCATTCTCAAGGTATAAACCCAACCTGAGTATGTCACGATACCAGAGTTCCACACATTTCAAGACGAGGTCCGAGGCAGTTTTCAAGGTCTCAATAATCAACTGAACGTCGTGGCGAGAACCATCAGAACATCTTTCCAGACCTTGTCTGAGAGGATTCAGATCCTTGAGGACACATCCAATAGTTAGGTAGGGGGTTCAAAACGACGACATGATGACGGAGATGACGACCCTGATCATCATGAGGGGGAGAAAC